ATTCTCATGACTTTAGCGTTTTGACATAGCTTATAACCGCCTCCGGGCTCTAATCACAACGTTGCACTTAACACGGTTCCTAACCGCCCCGATCCAAAATCGTAGCTTAACATAGACTTAGCTTGACATAGCTTATAGCCGCCTCCGGACTCTAATCATAATGCGCGCCTACTTATGCCCCGCTCCAAAGTCATAGCTTGCGGGACTTAGCATACTTTGGACCGCAGCCATAAACGCGCATAACCACGGCCCAAAGACCGCAAAGTAGATGAATCGCGACGCGAGAACCGCGGAGCCGTGCTAACGTAAAACTTTGCTAAAATGCCCAAGTAAGAAGAAAAAGGCGAAGCCAAATGCCGGGGGAAAAATATTACATAAACCTCGCCCGGAGGCGGAATGTATCAAGTGCCATAAAAAAGGAAGGAAAGGAAAAACGCAGGAAACAAAGTTAAGTTGGAGATTTGGTGGCGTTATCCTCAGTGGAGGCAGGTTGGTTCACTTCTTCTCCGCCAGCTGACGCCGCGGCCTGCGGTTGGGGCGCTACTTCGGAGTTCACATCACTGCCGCCCCAAAACTCAACCGCATCCCACACCGCGTTCCGATCCCAAATCACGTAGGGATGCTCCCGGCGGAACAGGTGCCGGATGGAGGCCACGGTGTCACGCAGCAGCTTCTGGTACTTAGCCTCGTCGGCCGCCTTGAACTCGTCAGACTCATAGAAGTTGGCCACCGCGCTCGCTCTGGCCTCGGCAATGTCGACCTCCCGCCGCACCTCAAGCTGAGTCATACTTGACTCCAGTTCCTTCACCTTGTCTTGCAGCTGACTCTCCCGCACAGCCGCATCCCGCGCTGCTTTCTTTGCCTGCTCCAGCTCCGACGCTGCCTTGGCCAGCTCCTCTCGCGCGGTCCGCAGCTCCGCTTCCTTGGCCTGAGAAGCCTCCTCCTGTTCCTTCAGATTTCATCCCGAAGTTCTCGGCGGAAGCCCTCGCGTCCCTTTTTCAGCTGCTCTTCGAGCGTCAAGATGCGGGTCTCGCGGTCACCCAGGTCATCCAAGAGACGCTCGTTCGTCAGTATGAGCTGGCTGATCCCAAACTGAGCCTGAAATCGTAAGCTTGTGTCAATGTCAAGTCATTCACATGCGAAAGTTAAAGTGAAGTTAATTAAAGCACGCACCGTGAAGAAGCACCGCGCAGTCACCCCGGCGAGATGGCGAGTTTCGGAGGTGGTTGCAATGCCGCTCGGGTTTCACACATACTCACTGGGAACCGCGAGTCCCTCGGCGATGGTAAGAAGCGCACGGCGCGTCGGCTCAGCTGATGAAGTTGAGTGCGGCGAGTATTGCGCACTGGATGACAGCTCAGTGGTCTTCTGCCTTTTCTGGTTGACGGGAGGATCAACCTGGATGCCCTTTAGCTTCCGCTGGTCCCTCGCGACCTCCTTCTCCGGCACTACCACGACATCCAGGGAGCGCTTGCTCGCGCTTTTGGCTGCACCTGAGTTGGTAGGGAGGGTCAGCTTGAGGACCCCGGAGCGTCCCATCGCCAGATGCGATTGGGTGGAACCGCCCGCTTGGGTTGAGCCGCCCGCAGTTTTCGCCCCTTCAGAGGCGTTGAGAGCAGAGGGGACCGCAGAAGGAGAACCACTAGCGACGGTCTTGGGCGGTCTGACGGACGAAGCGTACCTCCGGATCCCTGAAACATAAATGCATAAGTAAAGACATGAGAAGACAACATCCCACAAAGCAAGTAGAAACTAACTAACCGTGGAAGCGCTGAACAATCTCAAGAGCATTGTCATGCCCATGTGGAGGCAATCGAAATTGCACGGTTGATGTGACGCGGTCCACATGCGGCCTAAGGTGTTGGAGCTCCTTAACACCCTCGTCCCAGTCATCCGTGCTCCCGAACGAGAACGCGGTCAGCGGCTCTATGTCCCCCGTGCACCATTTCCCGGACGGGCGGGCGAAGAAATATTCGCTATACCAAGGGGAATCAAGCTTGGGAGATCCGTACACAAACCCAACGTTCTTTGACCGCCTCCGAGGAGACCAACAGTTCTTCGACCCGGTCATCGCATACAACAATCGGAAGGCATCAATAGACGGTTCCTCCTTTAGGCGGTCACAGGCCGCACGATAACAGACGGAATGGAAGATGACAGAAGGCGAGAGGCGGCTCAGGGAACAGTTGAGATGCAAAAGGATCTCGGTAAGGAGCGGATCTAACGGGAACTCCAAACCTAGGCGCACGTGCTCGGTGAAGACCGTAATCCACCCCACGGGGCAGGAACCGCATCACCCGTTGGGAGAGGGGGCCGCATACTCCCAATCGGCCGGAAGCCGGTGCCGGTGAAGCTGACGAAGCACTTGTGGGGGCGAATACGCAGGCTTGTAGCGTGGCCCGTAGTCGTAAACAGCGCTGGGGATTTCTCCCCCCTCCCACATGTCCGAGTGCAGACGCACACGGTATACGCGGTCAGCCACCGCTTGAAATGGGTAGACTATTGGCGCCTCTGACAGCGCCAAAGAGGGCGAGCCCGAGGCAGAGTCCTCCCCAGCTGATTCAAGGGACGCGTCCTTGGGCGTGCTTTCCGACGACAGCTCCACAAGGTTGTCACCGACGCGGGAGGTCGCCCCACGCTCAGCCGCCGACGTGGCCGTATCGATTAAGGCACCCGCTCCTAGCCCTAAAATACAACCATCAGGCCTATCTAAACGCTCTCCCGCATCAACCGCGTCACCAAACCCACACATCAGTTCAATACCCTCCGAGTCCCACTCTATGTCAGACAAGCTTAAAGAATGAGAAAATTCGAGCATACCTGCTCCCGTGGCAGGACCGCCTGCGCTAGCGGTCCCCGGACGCACGGCTCCTGTGTTGCTCCTCGGAGCCACAACGTCGCCGGAGGCGGTAGTCGCCACCGTGCCGGAGGCGGTGGCTGTGGCCTTGTCAGAAGCCGATAGTGGAATCACATCGCCGGAGAGGTCGCGATTCTGACTGTCAGAGGGGGTAGTAGATTGCGAATCCTTCGCCATCAGAAGCTTCTTCTTTTTCTTGAAGTGTTTTTGCTTTCGATTAAGGGAGGTGAGAAACTGGCGTCGCTCCGCCGAGAGAGCAGAGTGATTCTCCAGGTAACGAGAAAGAGAGAATCGAGAGCACCTAGCAATTTTGAAAGTTGGGGAAAATGCGCAAATGACAAGAGTGGTTAGGAGTGAAGTGATGGGAGATATATATATATATATGACGGGCGAGGGGAGCGATGTGACGGTTGAGTGCCCGAGACAGAGCTTTGTCTCACAAATTCAAAAAACGGGCAGGTGAAAAGACACTCGGCCTGCCCGATGTCAGAATGCGGAAATTGAGACGTGCCACGTGTGCGACGCGCCCTCGCCTTTAAGTCTTGCTGAGCGGTCGCCGATAGCTTAGGCGATACAACCCTAGGCCTCCGGCGCCTAGGGGCAGAGTACGGCGGAAAGGGGCACGAACCGCTCAACTAGCTGGAACGCATTAGTTATAGCCGCCAAAACCCTAGGCTTTTACCGCCTAAGGGGCAATTGTTGGGCCGCTTAGTTGAGCGTACTTGGGCCTTGGGCCCAAGAGAAGCGAGTCGGAGTTTAAGGCCCAATAAGGAGGCCAAGCCCGATCGAAAGACCGGGTCAGCGGGCGGTCCATGATCGACTGCAAACCCGAGGACTAAGATAAGGGCGCCTGACATAAAGCAACTGAGCATCACAGAGGGGCAGAGAGCCGTTGAAGATGCGTATCCGGTGTCAGGCAAGACTGAGCATTTATTGCCCACCACAGGCGGCCTGCAGAAAGGCTGAAAGCCTGCCCAGGACGCCTGACATTTCCCAAAAAGCCTGAATGGGCGCCCGACCAGGTCTGGGGCGCCCGACACAGCATTTAATGCCCCAACCACCCTTCAACCAGGTATAAATAGAGGGTGAGTGCATTAATGGTAAGGCCAACTACTATCTCTCTCTATCATAAATACATTCCACTTCTACTTCTCTCTCTAACTTGAGCGTCGGAGAGTGTCCCGGGCAACCGCCCCGGACCCTTGTTTTGCAGGATATCTGAAGCCACTCCGTCATCCTGATATAGGCGCCTCGCCCCAGCTCCACAAAACCGCCTAGTATTTACTAGGCACAAACAGTTGGCGATGAACAGAAGACGGCTACGATGCTGATGAGGATGGTGATTTTGCCTAACGAAGTTGGGATTTTGATGGTGATGTCAATCGACGACCATAACGATGTGGTGGATTGTTGCGACGGCCTAGGTTTACAACGGAAGGATAAAAGAATGAAGGGAACAACTGTGCCGCTTTGTGTCTTTTACTTTTTTATTTCTTTATTTTTTATTAATTGAATAATTAAACTAGAGCCACCCAATAAATTACAAACCCTACCATCTTAACCTGCTATAATTATATGGCGGCACTAATGCAGCCACTGCACTGTAGAATTCCCCATTATAATCTTATATACTATCCTCATTCCAATCCCAATCCCTAAATAATTTTGATATCCCAATCCCAATTCCTAAATATTTCGATATCTCAATCGGTACTTCGATATCCCAATCGATATTATCAAATACAAAATTAATTATCTGTCATTAATAATTAAATATATATAAATTAGATTTTATTCTTTAATTTAGGGCAAAGAGACAAAATAAAGAGTCTTGAGTTGCCTAAAACTAACATCTCAAGTTTTTACTCAAGTTTTTGTAATTAGTAATCTTTAATTTGATGAATTTGAGGTTGAGAGACGACTAATACTAATGTGAAATAGTGATGTAATGATCTATGTATAATTAAATGACACTATTGATAGTTGAGGATTGCATAGTAGTGAATGAGAGAGTCTAGTTGAGAAGATAAAATACACACTAGCTTATATTTCGGTATTGAGTGATATTTTATAGCAATCCCAATTCCAATCCCGTAATCCCTAATAACGAATAACAATTGAAACTCAATCCCAATCCCAATGTCACAAAATAATACATGTATTCGGTAATACCAAATATAGACAAATTCGGTACGGTATTCGCTATATACCAAATATTGGTACCTATTTGGCACCAAACTTCCAGCACTAATCGTCATGGTAAACCAATGAGAAGGTTCGAACCTAGAGCCAGCCATCAGGGAAGAGAAGAAGAAAAAAAAAACTTATACCATCAACAAACAACAGCACATCGATCAGGTAGACCATATAAATATCCATGGAATGAACAAACAAGCTATCTACACATAGCTCTAACTACATACATATAGAGGAACCAATATTTCTACCCAAAAAAAAGGAACCAATATCTGCCCGGAAACAGGGGTGCCGAATCTAAGCAGCGGCAACTCCGGCCCTGAAATTGGAAACACCCTCAAGCAAGTGATTTGTGGCCTTCTCGAAATTAACGAACCCCATAAACCAGAATTCGTGACCGTCCATCGTGGAAATCTGGATGTACTTCTCCGGCGGATCCTCTCTCAATACCACAGGGTTCACCGAGCTTATCTTCTCCACCGGAATCACAACCTGTGTGCATCAAATTAATCAGTCGTCAGAAATTTTGATTTCATCGCCGCGGTTAGCACTAATTAGCCCTGAAAGAAAGCAAAAACTGACCTTGTAGTAGCTCCAGGCTTCCTGCCCCGATGGAGCTGTGAAGCAGAGAGGCCGATCGCTGCAGAAGGCGACCCGAGCAGTGGAGAGGTACAGAGTGCCGGCGACGGGACCGGTGGTGGTGGAAAGGTAACATGCGAATGTCTTCTTCAGCTTCTCTTCGGGATGGGTTTCAAATATGCGCTTGAACATCGACTCGAACCCTCCCTCTGTTATGGCTTTGGCCGTCAGGTTCATTTTCCCCCACGCTGCCTCTGTCACCGACGGCCCTGTATTCACTGTTTCCAGAAACACTAGTTAGAAGAAAAAAAAACAATCTTTTTCATTATTTCATACTAATGTAATGATTCAAGATTAACATACGATTGTGCCAAATGTTTTTGGCGATGGTCTCTGCTTTTGCGCTCCAGGTGTTGAACATGTGGATCACTGGCTCGAGAGGGTTGCTGCTGGCTGGCTTTTCTACAGGCGTGTAGATGAGATAAGGCTGCTCCGGGATCTGCTGGTGGTCGCCGGCGTTCCAAGATGCCGCCTTTTGATTGTCCGGGTGCACTGCCGGCGCCGCCGGCGGTCCCATGACGTGGGTTCCCCATTTCTTGGTGTCCACCACCTCTTGCCCTGTTGATTGTTGCAGCTGCTGGGTTTGTGCCTCTTCCCCTGTTCCTGCCATGGATGGTTGCGATTAAATCGTAATTTGATCTGATTGATTGCAAAGGAAAGCTAATGACTTTTGCTATCAGTTCTTATCTTCTTCAAGCTCTGATTGTCTTTATATATTGCGTTGATTATAGATGAAAACTGGAATCCGGAACATAAGAGAATGTTCAGAATGTGAGAATTGTTGCTGGAAATCTGTATCCTTAGCCTTAGCCGCGTAGGCTTTTCCAGAAGGAACGATTTGTCTGTCAGGAAAACGACACAAGGGTTTTTCTTTTTAATTTTAGTTTTGATTTGTATATACCGACTGACAGACAAGAAAGAAAAGTAAGGAAATTGAAGATTTGGTGATACGTGTCCAAGGTATCTCATTGACGTGTCTTAAGACTGAAGGAAACAGAGAAATTTATCATTTGGTGTCCTTTTTTATTTGCGTTTCCATTGTGGCCTGGAGACCAAATTTCAACCGGAAACAGAGTTCTCTCCAAGGGAAAACGAACTAGGAGAAGAAAAAATGAGCTACTCATGAATCTTACCAGCAACCAGGCAAGCTTAACCCAACAATTTTCCCTTACCCCACCCCCCCCCCCCCCCCCCGGTTAATTGTGATGGTTGATTGATTGAATTTTGAGATTTTTTTGTGATCCCTGTCGCCAGGGCCGCCGCCGCCGTATCCGCAAAATGACCCCTTTCCCCGCACGCCGACGCCGTCGGGGTATCCACAGAATTACCCCTCTCCCGGCCCGCCGCCGCCGCCCCGACGCGGGTATCAAAGCTACTTCGCGGACAGCCGGCCGTCTATAGCGCCGCCGTTCCCTCACGCTGCCCCGGCGTGGCATGAAGACCACTACCGTCGTTACGACGACTTGGGTTGCTTCTCCTGTATCAATACATGGTAAACGATTGTGTTTATGGCTGTGATTGAGTTTCTTTTTTCTAGTTTCTGGACGTGAATGAGAATTAGCAAAAATGTTTACATAATTGATGCGTTCGATTGGGGATTTCGGCTGCTGCAGCTTGACTATGCTCTGTTGCTGCTGCTTGCTGGAGCAGTGCTGCCGTTGATTCATCGGAGATCTGGGTGCTCGGAATTGCAGCAGCTTTATGGTGGCTCTCGCTTATGTATTAGTTCTCTGTTATTTTGGTTTTTTAGCTTTGGGGGATATGTAATACTAAGCTTGGTTCAGTTCAAGTTGAATAAGACTAACAATTAATTTTGTTGAATAGAAAACATCTCTTAATTTATTCACGTATTTTTGTATTCATTGACGCACATTTTTTAGTGTATATTCACGTAAATGAAAATTCAAATTTTCCCTAATAATTTATATCGGCTATATTTTGTGGAATTAAATTTGGATTCTCAATTAGTATGTAAAAATATGTTGTAATGACATCCATTTTGATATATTTTAACGTCTAAAATATAATTTACAATGGTGTGAATCAATAACAATGTGTGTAAATAAACACCAGGTTGCGTGACTAAACAATATTGGTTGCGTGAATAAGCAATACTCTTACGTGAATAACGTCAATATGGCGTGAACAACGCAAATATGGCGTGAATAAATAAATTTTTTTTGAATTAGGTGTTCTTGTCATGTGGTGACAAGAAACTTGATTCTTGTTGAATATAACTGTTTCTGTTAAGATTGTTTAGGTAAGGCGAACAAAGAAACTTGCAAAAGACAAGTAGATGGTCATTTGAATCCATCCCGACTTTTAAAAGTGCTTTTTGGTATCAAAAGCTGAAATAGGGCCAAACACTTCTAAAAACTCGGCTTTTGAAAAGCCGAAAAGTGCTTTTGTATAACAGAAAAGCGGAAGCTCCGATTTGAAACTTCTGCGAAAAGCTGTTTTGAAAATACAGAATTATCCTTACCATATTTTAATTTTATTTCAGAAAACATAATTTTATTTTATTTATATAATTTAAATCATAATAATAATAATAACATATTATTTAATATAAAAGAAGTCTAACAAGATCCATTTTTACTACATTTTATTGTTTAGAATTATTATTCATACTTTATATTATAAGTCCTTTATAGTCATTTTACATAACTTCTCATATTAAAAAGCATTTTTAATAGTTTTTGCCAAACACTCAACTGCTTTTTTTAAAAAGTATTTCTCTAAAAGCTCAAGCCAGAAGTTTCTTCTGCAAAAGCTACAGCAGGGCCAAACAGAGATTATCCGTATTTTTTTTTTACAAAAGATAATCATATATTGATTGAAACAAAAAGATAGCCACATCCTGGAAACCAGCCAGGTCTGAAAATCAAAATAACGACACGTAGACGGGAACAAAGACATGACCTGTCTAGCTACCAGATGAGCTACCCTATTGCCACCCCGACCTACAAATCGCACACTGAAGCCCTTATTCAAAGCAAAAATCTGCACAATCTCCTCCAAAATAGCTCCTACTCGACTATCCCGCACATCGGCCCGACAGACTTTATCAATGACCACCTTGACGTCACCTTCAAACTGCATTGCCAAAAAGCCCTGCACCAAACACCAACGGACCGCCTCACGAAGGGCAAGTAGCTCTACCACCATTGGATCATCAATCAAAGAGAACTGAACCCCCGCAACCTAGAGGATCACCCCCGCCTCATTTAGGATAACCATCCCTCCCGCAGAGTGAGACCCCCTTCAAACTGCCACATCCCAACGACACACAGGCCTCGCTGACCCACCCAAGTCCACTGTAGGGGTCATATGAGTAGACAAAAGGAGGGGTTGAGGATCACTTGGAAAGCAAAGCCATTTCCCTAACTGCTGATTGTACTGCCTCATTAAAGCAGGAATCCCAAACTGTTTCCCTTCAAAAACAACCCAATTCTGGGATCTCCATATCCTCCAGAGGACATCAATCACCACCATGAATTACGAGGGTTGGTGTATAATAGACAGTAACTTCTTCAGGAAAAGAGGGAATGTATGTCGAGGCAACCCTTCACCAAAAAAATCTAAACCATATTGAGTCCAAAGCGCCCTAGCCACAGGACAGTCAAGGAACAAATGTTCCATTGTCTCCAAAGTAGCCCGGCAAACAGGGAAACAAGGTAGGACCACCGCTTTACGCTCAATAAGCGCCTTAGTCGTCGGCAGAATTCTATTAAAGATTTGCCAGGCAAACACCTTCAACTTCGGAGGAATGTTAGCCTGCCACAACCGGATCCAACTAGGCTTATCCATCCAGCTAGCCTGGGCCCGCCATCGTCCATTCTGTTGATCATGGCAAACCGCAAAGTGATAAGCCGACTTCACAGTAAATACACCATCCGCGGTGGCGTGCCAGACTAGTCGATCCTCAATATTACGCCTCGGGAGGGGCATAGCCTTAATTGCCTGGCATGTTTGGGGATCAAACCACTGACTAAGCTTACTCTCACACCAGCGCCCTTCTCCTGGGCAGAGAACTGTAGATACTGTCACATCCCCTCCCTCATGAAGGACCTGTGGGTTATACACTGGGGGGAGAGGGTGTTGCTGTGGGATCCAGTTTGAATTAAGAAAAGGGGCCGTCTGACCATTATTAATCTGCCACCGTAACCCCTTAGTTAACAATTGGCGTCCAAAAAGTATGCTCTGTCATCCCTAAGACGGACGGGACCGAGCCGTAGCCGAGAGGAAAGAACCCTATGGAAAGTACTTCCCTTTATATACCTGGGCTAAGAGGGACTGAGGTTCATTCAGGATCCTCCATTCTATTTTCGCCAATAAAGCTTGATTAAACTGTTCGAACCGACGAAAACTCATCCCCCCTCATGTTTACTTCTGCATAAATTTCGCCAGGAAACCCATCGAATCTTGAAGTGCCCGTCCTCTACCCCCCCCCCCCCCCCAAAAAAAAAAATCTAGCCACATGCTTGTCTAGGAGGCGACAAAGAGACAGATGAAGCCAAAAGCAGGACGTCACATGGAGCGGCAGAGCCAAAGAAATAGACTTAATCAGAGTTTCTTTTGTCGCCCAAGACAAAGTCCTTCGTTTCCATCCTTGTAAGCGTTCTAAAAGCTTCTCCTCCAAATATCGGAATGTTGCCATTTTGGAACGAGATATCAAAGTAGGGAGGCCAAGATATTTATCATCGACGCCTACCGCACCCACCCCAAGGACTGCAGCCAAGAACTCTTGATCTTGCAAGGAAATGTTCTTACTGAAACAAACCGCCGATTTATCCAAATTCACCCTCTGGCCATTAAGCTCCTCATACTCATTAAGAACTTCTATCAGACTCTCACACTCCTAGAGAGAACCACAGAGGAACAAATAAGAATCATTAGCAAAGAATAAATGAGATATTCGGGGAGCCCGAGGAGCTACTTTGACCCTTTCCAGCCTCTTATCGGAGATAGCCTTACGAATTAAGGTTGAAAACCCCTCCGTGCAAAGCACAAAGAGTAGAGGAGAAAAAGGATCCCCTGTCGGAGACCCCTGGAAGGCGCAAAGAAACCAGAAGGAGAACCGTTCATGAGAACCGAGAACGTTGTCGATTATACGCATTCATGTACCCAGCCTCGCCAGACAGAGTTAAAACCCATCTTCTCCAAAACCGCAAGAAGAAAAGACCATTCAACTCTATCATAGGCATTTTCCATGTCAACCTTTAGAGCCATGTATCCTTTTTTTCCACGGGTTTTGATTTTCAAATAGAGCATTAACTCATTCCCAATGAGGATATTATCCACAATCTGTCTTTCCCGGATAAAGGCATTATGCCCTTCCGAGATAATGAGAGGCAACATCCCTGCAAGCCTCTCCGCCATAATTTTAGTGATCACTTTGTACACAAACTGGCGTAGACTAATGGGGCGAAGTTGACGCATGGATTCCACCTGATCCACTTTTGGGATCAACGTCAACCATGTGTGATTGAAGCTCCGGAGCATCTTGCTTGTAGAAAAGAATGAGCCACCCGTTGCAACAACTGAGTCCACAACAATCCCCCACTAGGCTTTAAAGAATTAATCCGTGAAACCATCCGAGCCTGGTGCCTGCTTTGAACCCATCGCAAAGACCTTTTTACGGATCTCATCAGGGAGGACCTCAGCAGTTAGGCTAGCATTCATTTTCGGGGTAACATTGGATGCGATGGGGAGTTCAGCCACCCTCTCAGCCATATTGTGCACCTGAGTTTCCGAGGTGAAGAGAGTTTGGTAGAAATTAGTCACAATTCCAGCCTTCCCCTCTTCCTCTGTGATCCAATCGCCATCTCTTTTCATTAAACAGGCGAGTGACAAAGTTTCTTTTGCGGCGGGTTCGCATGACCGTGTGGAAGTAGGACGTATTTTTGTCACCCCTTTTCAACCACCGGACACGCGATTTCTGCTGCCAATATAGTTCCTCTAACCTCCCATTGCCTATTTAATTCGGTTTCCAAACTAGTCATCTCCTGCTAATTAATTCGGTTTTCAGTCTCTCCCGCAATTGGAACATCGGAGTACCATGAATTGGCTCCTGCCAAACGTACGAAACCATAGCCATGAGTTTTCTACCCACCTAGCATCAAACCGAAATAGAGGGTGACACATATGGACATAAGGTTTATCAGAAAGAAGCAAAGCCCGATGATCATACCCTTGATCAGTGAAATGCTTCACAAGAGTTTCTGGAAAACAGTCCATCCAACTTTGGGAACAGAGTGCCCTATATAGCCTCTCACGAATACATGTCAACCCCATACATTTGTTTGACCAGGTAAAAGGGTCACCCTGGTAGCCAAGGTCATACAACCCGAGGTCTTGAACCAGATTACGGAAGTTCATAGATTGGGAAGCACTCCACGGGTTACTACCATCCTTTTCACTCTCGTTATGGGTGGCATTAATTTCACCAATGGTCACAAAGGGGAATTGGAGTCCCTCACAGATCTCACGAATTTGAGTCAATTGAGTCGCACGCAGAGCGATATTACAACTCAAATAAACACAGAGCACCACATACGAAGAACCATTTTCATTAATCCTTGAGCAAATACAAAAACTAGAATAATAAAACACCGAAGCGTCAACTTCGGGGGACCAGGCAACTACAAGACCACTAGAACCATTAATAGCAACAACAAAAAAATATTGAGCAGACTTAAACCCTAACCCCCGCAAACGACGAAAAACTACTCGCCGGGACGATCTTGTTTCTGAAAAGAAGACAAGGTCTGATTTATTCGAACAAACAAAAGTAAAAGTTGTTTGGAATGTGAGGGATGACCCAATTCCTCTCACATTCCAGGCCAGAAGCCTCATTTATCAGATTGGGGCCACTCTTGACTGGCTTCCTCCACCAATTCAGTTTCCACATGCTCCTCCACAAACTGCCTCTTGGGGGTGGGACTATCCGCAAAACCCCCATCTAACTCTTGAAGCGACCGCTTACGGTTCCCAACCTCAAGGTTAGAGCCATACTCGTTAAGCTTCATAATCATATCCCCTTCCGCATCTTCCAATTGCTCCTTGTCTTCAATAATGACCAAGTTCGCCTCAAAAGCAACCACCACCTGCTTCACATGACCTGGTTGAACATGTCGTTCCTGAGCAACAGTCGCTTTCTTGCTAGCCAGGCGGGGAGCAGCTTGCTTCCGAGAAGTTTCAACTGCCAGCTTTGCCTCCCCCAATTTCACCGGCTTTCGACCCCTCTTTTTCCCTTCCTGATACTTGTGAGAATTGGTGGGGTGACATCATCGTCTGATTCATCCAAGATCAACATTCCAAGGCGGACTTCAACAGGTGCGAATTTCTTGGCCTTACGCTCAACAAGCAGCTGCTCTGCCGTCGCATCCAAGGTAATGTCGGGGGAGTCAGACGCCCCAATGTCTTGATGTTGGTGTTGGGCATAGTGATCCTGCATATCCCCATCATCCCATGTCCTGCGATTAGTGCGACGCATGGGGGTATTACCCCTGCCGGAGTTCTCGTTCAGCTCACGGGATGATCGAGCAGCTCGGCCTAGCAGGACCTTAGGCGACCTCGCCAGCTTGAAACCGCGAGTACTCTGGTGACATTATGTCCCTACAGGCACAGGAGCAGCTGTCTTCCACGGAGGCATGGGATGCTGACGAGGCTTGGAAAAAGGCGGCTCCTGCATTTCCCCACTAAGAGCCAACCCACTCCCGTCATTGCTACCTCTCTGCTCCCGATACGATATGTTGACCCAAACTGTATTAACGCCTCTCGGGAAAGGGAGGTTGTTTTCTTCAGTTTCATAAATCCGGGTTCCTAGCTTTCTATTGCACTTTTCTTTACGGGTTGGTGGATCAAAAGTAGTGGCACGAAGCGAATGACCGACCCTACCACATTGATAGCAGAAACTGGGCAGATACTCGTATTTTAGGCGGACTTAGAAGCATACTGTATCATCATTAGTAGCCATAATCTGGTACCGAAGCGGTTTCTTAAAATCAATTAAAGCCTTGACTTTCATGAACCAACGCCCGGTATCCTGACAGGCAAAAACACCCAATTCCAGCACTTTGTCGATAGTAAACTTCACCATTTTTCTCCCAAACTGCTGTGTGCAGCAGTCTTCTTTAACATCCCACAATTGAACCCAGAATATAACAATTGCAAGGTCATCAAAAATTTGTTTTGTGATAATAGAAGTCCACGGACGGAGATGGAGGATATGATCATTGATAACCCATGGGGTGCGTTTAAGCACCCAGATCCTAGCCTCTTCGCTAGGTAGCATGAACTCGACCAATCCATGCTTTGCCAAGACCACCCTGAGACGTCCTTGGATGAGCCAGGGCGTGAGCACCGCTTCCCTCAACTCCGTATTAGAGATCCTATTAGTAGTGAAGACCCGGCCAAGCAATGAGTGAGAAGCACGATACTTCACCGATTGGACTTCTTCCAATGAAAATTGAACCACCTGGTCCGAGATCACGTGAGCCATGTTTTGAATCTGCAAAAGAGGCTCCTTTTTGTTAATTAACGTGTCCAATCTCCCAAGCGACTGCTACCACACCAATACCATGCAGGCTACATTGCCACGGCTAGGGGCGACAGCCGAGCTACCTAACCTATTCTCACTCGATCCCCCAAGTTTGGATCGTAGCGGCGGCCAAGCAAGCAGCTTAAAGGATCGAGGGAGGAGAAAAGAAACAGTAGCAATAACTGCGTGGGATGGGCGCCTGGGAACGACAACTTTGTGAACTACTCGTGCCTTTTGCGTAACTCGAAGAGAAGCAAAGCTCAGAGTTACAAAGCCAGATCCGAGTGTCTTAAATAAGAGACGGGCTGTCTCACATCTAGGTTTTCCTAGTCTCACGCGGTTTAGAGGTAGCAGAGGCCGCCTAGGAATAGAACTCTGATGCCAAGATAACGGGAATAGATAATTAATTTTAAAAATCTCCATTAGTCTCGGAGATGGTATAAGGCGGAGATATTCCCCTAACAACCTCCTGTTGGTTGGCAGGATTTCTGGTCCAGCAACGATCGACGGTGGAAATCCGGTCATTGGGGATCGTATCCCATTCCGTCCGCAGGTGAAATTCTCCTTGAGATGGAGTATCTGGCAACCATAAAACAAATGAGGAGGAGAGGCATTCCCGATTGTCATTTCTTTACTAACAATCTTATTGGTTGTTTTGAATACCAACTCCTCCAAATCAAAATCTTCCATTGTAGGGATCTTGAAAGACCAGACGATCACTTTTGCGAATTGTCGGTGCTTCGCGTTTTTTTCATTCACCACATTACTTTAACTAGGACAAGCCCAAGCTTACATTTACCGATTCTTAGAATCGATCTTCGATCGTCTATGGAAAGCTGACCATAGGAGTAGACTATCTCGGGACGTCTACACTCGGCATAGGATCGCGCCTCTCTGTCCCCTGCTGATTCCACATCTTTTCCAAGGTCGGGATAACATCCGGGTTTGCTTGTCTTCTGGTGTTGTGTCAATCGTTGATTGCACAGGCAGCACAAGAAGATTGAGATGACAATGGTGACCAAGAGCTGTCTGATCCATTGCACAAGGCGAAGGAGAGAGGGGAGATCGCTCCCCATCTTTTTTTTTTTACTTGTTAATTACGATGTGTAGCTTTCATTCTGTGAATCAAATCCTGGAAATTCTTCTTCCTCAAAAAGCACTAGTTTATCGGTAAGTTATTCTGTTTAGCGATTTCATGCTCAACAAACTATGAAGTCAAATAGGTAATAGGTTCATAAATCTAATATGTTGAGGAAGAGATATGTAGCAGGGGAAAAAATAACTTTTTGCACAAGCTTAGATGCACCTCCCCCAACGTTACGATGGTATTAAATCCTGGAAATTCTGTGAATCAAATCCTGGAAATTCTTCTTCCTCAAAAAGCACTTGTTTATCGTTAAGTTATTGAGATTATCTGACTTGACTTGCAATAGTGTGGATATTACCCTATTCGCAGTAGCGTGGCGTGGGCCACCCGCAGTAATATGGTGTGAGATATGGGTATCTACATCCTCACATTTCTTTTTACAATATTTATTCAGATTGTTTTTTATTTTGGCTTTAACTAGTTAGACTTGATTTTTCAACTATTTAGACTCAATTACTCATTTTATTATCACTATTTTCATTAATAAAGTGCTTCCCTCGTTTTATCGCAAAAGATAAAATTTTATGGGTGTTTTTTCACATAAGTATAAGAATGGGTTGACCCGTCTTATAACGCGCGCGTGTGGGTATTAAGATACCCGCACTGTGCAAACCCACCTGTTTGCCATCACTAAAGATCGGGGGAATGGATCTAATTAGAAATTTAGTTGATTATTGTTAATATATAACTTCTACTTAATTTAATTTAAGGTTATATCTCTTTCATTTTAATTTGAATTTCAATTTTTTCACAAATAAACCAATTTAAATGTGTTCTTTCAAAATGATGTCACTCTGATATATTTTGGAACAAAAATTAATTTAGCCATATATTACTGGTTTATAACATGGTGATAGTGTTCGGTAGTACTTAAAATTATACTACGGTAGTATACAAATGTATCATAATGGTATGAATTAGGGGTGGTATTCGGTCGGTAAACCGTTTACCGAATTTACCAGTTTCGGTATACCGACAGTGGCTAAATTGGAATCGATTACCGATACCGGTTTGTAACCGTTTTACCGATTACTGAATTACCGGCAAAAGGTTACAAACCGGTATTACCAAAATACCGTGAGAAGCGACGTCGGGCGGTGGAGAAGCCGGAAGGTGGCGGAGATGGCTGGGTCGCTTGGTAGGGGTTTTCCTAGGGATGAACAAAAATGGCATCCTTTACTCTCAACTTCGTCACCGTCAACCCAAAGTTCTAGCAATCCCCGAAACCCACTCCACCCTCCCACAGATTCACCACCGCCAGAAGATTCCCCTCCTCCCTCCGCCCAATCGAAGCCACCATATTCGACAAATCCCCACTCTCCTCCATCCCAGGTTTGACCAAACCGTCCCCTGAATCCAATCTCCCAATCCGATAGATTTCGGGCGACTATGGCCTCCCTGGAGTCGGACCCATCCAAGACCGCCTCGATTACTTCTACAACCAAGGCCGCAACGAGTTCTTCAAATCCCGAATGCAGAAGTACCAGTCAACGGTCTACCGAGTCAACATGCCCCCGGGCCCTCTCATCGCCACCAACCCTCGCATCATTGTCCTGCACGACGGGAAAAGCTTCCCCGTCCTCTTCGATTTGTCCAAGTCGAGAAGAAGGATTTCTCCACTGGAACCTACATGCCCTCCACGGATCTCACCGGAGGGTACTGAATCGTATCCTACCTTTGGGAGGGCCAGGCAAAACGCAGCGCAGGGGAAGGGGGGATTTTGGTATCGGTATTACCGACTTACCGTCGGTATTTACCGATACCGTGTCCGGTAAACCGAGTCGCCCAAGTTCCCGCTCGGTTGTCGATACCATCGGTAAACGGTAAATCGTTAACCGGCTTACCGTTTACCACTATGAATATATCGCAGTGTAGAATTGACGTATATATGGTGGTAGAAATATAATAACCATCATTTACTATATTTTATCACTATCCATCATCACTTACCATCGTATATCAGGATGGTATATGGAGATCTCAAAGTTTTTTTTTTTCAAAAATTTGTACATCATGTTCTTTCTTCTATACAAAATTTTTCAATATATTTGTATTAAAAGTGTAGGAAAAATCCAAAAGTACCACCATTTAAAAAAATAATTACAAAACTACCACCCATGTACGAAAAATTCTAAAAATACCACCCTTTTTCGAAAACCGCTGGGTGGGGGCGCTGTTTTCGATGAAAATCGCACTGGTAAGGGGCGGTTTTGTTGAAAATCGCAACCTCGCCTGGCGGTTTTCAGTATATATATATATTTTTTTTATCCACATAAATCTCATAAGTGGTCTTGGCACAATTAGTTTAGTTGTTTCGTTGTGTACAAGAGGTTCTAGGTTTGAATAACCATCATTCAAATTAAATCTTTTTATTTAATAGAGAGATTAAAAAAGTAGCAGTAGTGGTTCGAACCCAAATTCATTAAATATAGTTAACTAAATTCAGCCCAACATCTAAACCACCACATTACAACTCCTCTTTTAAAACAACTATATATTAACCAAGTTTTAAAATCCGAATGTCATAATATGGACGACCATAACTTTGTGCTTCAAAATCCGAATGTCATAATTTTTTTTTATTCAGCATAACTTTTCAATTACTACAACTTTTAACATAACCATAATTTCGAAATGTACATGGATTTGTGAAAGTAAAGGTAAAGTTATTCCCAAGATCCTGTATATCCAAAACTAATTCTTGTTTTGAAAGTTTCATCCTTGTAAAACTTGTAGATCTTAAAAAGTTATGCGAAATGAAAAAAAAAATCATGACGTTCGGATTTTGGAGCACAAAGTTATGGCCGCCCAAAGTTTGACGAAATCGAAAAAAAGGCTCGTTCAGGGGTAGCAAATAACGTTTTTTCTAGACGAAGGCGGGACCAAAGCGCCTATGGCGTTTGCAGTTTGCAAGATCTCGAAAAATTATGCGAATTCAAAAAAAAATCGCTACGATCTGAAACCCGAGTGCAAAGTTACGTTCGTTTGAAGTTTCGGCCGAAGTTAGGAGTTGATCGGAAAAAAAAATTGGACCAAAACCGCCCCGTAGCCCAGCGGTTT